GAAGCTTCCAAGCCTGGACATTTACACAATTGTGCACAATCTTGGCCATAAAATCCTTTTGTACAGGCTAAAAATTAAAAAAAAATTTTTAAACAATTTAAAGTAAAAAAACCTTTGTTGCACTTTTTCCCTCTCCATCCAGGTGCACATTGACAGTGACCACTTATATGATTACAAACTCCACCGTTTTGACACTGACAAGTTTGGGAACAATTTGAACCAAAAGTACCTTCTTCACATTGTTTGTCACATCTAAAACAAATTTTTAGAGTTCTTGTCTTTTTCACAAGTCAGCAAGAAAATTAAAAAAAATTGCGGACCAAAAGTTGCGGACATTCATGAATTAACCAAAAAAGAACATTAAATAACCTTCTTCCAGTCCATCCAGGTAAACAAAAACACTCTCCATTTGTATGATTACAACTTGCACCATTTTTACAATCACATTTATCATTGCAACCAGTACCAAAAAGACCAAAAGGGCAGGCTAAAAATGTGAAATTTGAAAAAAACCTCAATCAAACTAACGAAATTCGCATCCTTTTCCAGTCCATCCAGAAGTACATGAGCACTCTCCAGTTTGAGAATTACATTTTCCTCCGTTTGCACAAAGACAATGTTCAAGACAATTTGGCCCATACAAATCAGAAGGGCATTCTAATAAAGAAAAAAAAATTTTTGAACTTGCGGACAATAAAGTTGCGGACAAAAAAAATTTTTTTAATCAAACCAAATTCACAATTTCGTCCCATCCATCCAGCAGAGCACTCACAAAAACCAGTAACAGGATTACATTTTCCTCCTCCTCCATTTGATGAGCAATTACACAGTTCAGAACATCCAGGTCCCCATCTTCCCAAAGGACAACTTTCATTGCATAATTGGCCAGTCAATCCTGGAGGACATTGACACTCTCCTGTTACATGGTGACATCTATAAAAATAATAGGAGCGCGTCATAATGGAAAAATGTTGAAATGCCAAACACCTAAAAAGCGCTGAAACGCCAAACAGTCGACGTTTGGTATTTCACGTTTTGGCGTTATAATAGCATGCCAAAATGTTTAAAAATTTTTAAAAATTCAAACCTTATATCATCAACATCTCCTCTGTCTCCTCCTTCTACACCACAATTGCATTTATTCCCACATTTTTCACCAAAAGTTCCAGAAGGACATGTACGCTCGCAATGTTCACCCCACCATCCCGGTGCACATTTACATTCTCCTGTTGCTGAATTACACGTAGCCCCGTTTTGGCAAGCACAAGTACCAGTACATTGAATGCCAAATTTGTCATTTGGGCATTCTGTCGGTTGGACATTTTGAAAAAATTTTTTTCAATTCTATTTTACCTTGTTCACAACGTTTCCCATAAAAACCAGGCGGGCAAATACAGTCACCATCAATTGGATTACAATTATCTGTGCCTAGATGAAGTAGAGATGATTGCTGTTGTTGTTCATATTGATGCCCTTCTAAAATTTTTTTTTCAAAAAAATTATTTTTAATTAAATCAGCAACCTTCCATTTTGTATTCCAAATGACTTGAACTATTCATTGAAACTTCACAATCGCAAATTTCCATACAATTAATACCAAAAGTACCACGAGGACAGAGATGTTCACAAAATTTGCCATGAAAGCCTTTAGAAAGAATTTTTTTTGAGAATTTTCAAAAAATAAAAAAAAACCTGCTGGACATAAACAACTTCCATCATTAGAATCACAATGTGCGCCATTTTGACATTCACAAATATTTTTACAATTTTGACCAAAACGGCCTGGTGGGCATTCTACAAAGAATTTTAAAAATAATTTTGGAAATTCGAAAATTTCGAAATAAAAAAATCAAATAAAAAAAAACAAACAAACTTTCACTACATTTAGGCCCATAAAAACCATCTTTACAAAAACATGTTCCATTTAAAGATTCACATCTAGTTGCTCCATTTTCACACAAACAATCAAAATTGCAATTGGGTCCATATTTTCCATCAGGACAATTTATTTGTAAACAAATACCACTGACGGGATGACAAAGATTTTCCTCATTATCAAAACATTTACAATCCAGAGAACAATTATTTCCATATTTTCCAATTGGACAAACTGTCAAAAAAATTTTTAAATTAAAAAAAATTTTTTAATCACAAACCTTTTTCACAATTTTCACCAAAATAGCCCGGTTGACATTTTGAAACAATTTCAAATTCAGAATCTAAGCAAACACCATTTTTTGAATCACAATTTCTTCGAGGACACATATTACATTCTTGAGAACAATTATCCCCAAAAAATCCAAAATGACATCTTTGATGGCAATAAATACCTTGGAAACCAGGAAGGCACTGACAAGAACCAGTCTAAAAATATTAAAAAAAAATATTTTTATTAAAAAAATAATTTTTTCTTCCTGGTCCTAATAGTCCGCAAAATTTATCTGCAAAATGTCAAATTTCGCCTTGTGAAGAAAAATGTTATCGCGCCCTTTAATGTAAGATATCCAGTGGGAAAAAATTTTCTGTTCCCCTAGAAAAAAAATCATAGAAATCCGATTTTTCATTTTATGGAGATTTGAGGATAAATTTGCGGAAACCTTCGTATTCATTTTAAAATAAAAAATATTTTTACTTTTGTATCACATTTTTGAGTTCCCTCACGAGAACAACGACAAGACATTTGGCAGTTCTTTCCATATGTCCAATCAGGACAAGGCAAATCACATTTGTCACCAAAATATCCATCAGGACAAAGACAAATTCCTTTAAAATATCCCTTAATTTAAAAGAATAAACAACACAGCAGATCAAAATAGGCAAAGGCTGTTACTCGCCTTTCAGTGCGGGAATATGGCTTAGTTGGATAGAGCGCCCACTTTAAAGCGAAGTATGTGTAAGGTTCGAACCCTTCCAGTGAAAATGGATTATATATTAGGGAAATCCTAATAATATCATTTCTAAATAACATTTAATATCATTTTAAACTAAAATAAATTTTTTCAAAATAATTTTTTCCTGTATTTTTCATTTTCTAAGGTCGGTTTGTTCGGCCATTTAAAACTTTTTTTAAACGTTTAAAAAATCAATGAAATTGGTTTTAAAACAAAGATAAGACTTTGTTTAACGATTTGACTAAGATGAAATATTTTTTCCTAAGTTTTTTTTCGAGATAAAGCTTTTCGAAGTTGGACATCAAATCTTTAGAGAAATAGCACGCCAAAGAAATAGAGCGGAAAAGAAAAAGATACAGTATTTTTATTTATTTGAGTGCCACTGAAACGGCTTAAAGTAACAGGCTGATCTGCTGTGAACAAATAACCTAAATATCTATCACAACTTCCATCTCTACAATTTTGTTTACATATTGAAGAACAATTTGGACCGAAATATCCTTGAAATTACGAAAAAATTAATTATATAAAGGACCGAAATGCCCATTTTCAAAGGCTATTTTCGCATAACTATTAAATATTTCTATCAGACTTGGGAAGAAAAGTCCACGCAAAAAACTTTGCAAAATTCAGCAGAGAAAATCCGAAAAAATTCAAAAAAAAGTACCCCTTTTTTCTAAAAAATTAGCCCTTTTACCCCGTTTTTTCTAGAAAATTTATTTAAAAACAAACCTTTTAAACAATTTTCATCTTCACACTTTGTTGTTCCATTTAAACACAAACATTCACCAGTAATAGAATTACAATTAGCTCCTCCACATTGACAATATTGTGAACATTCAATACCAAAAGTTCCTTCCAAACAGGGTAATTCACATAATTGGCCTTGCCATCCAGGCATACATTCACATTTATTTCTCAAATAATTACAACCCCCACCATTTTTACAATCAGAACAAGAATATTCACAATCTGGACCGAAACGGCCAAATGTGCAGGCTGTTGATATGGACATTTCTGCTTCTGCTAAAATGAAATTTGACATTATGAAATTGGGTCGGAAGAGTCTCGACAGTTGAGTACAAGAGGTTGTTCTGGCTAGACTCAACTGGCATACTCAACAGGCGAGTTGCGCAAAGAGAACAGAATTTTGAAAAACCGGGTCCAGGAAAATGGTTCTGTAAGTTGACCGGGATGGATCCGGACCGGGAAAACCGGGAACCGGAATTCAAAAAAACCGAAAAAAGGGACCCGAAAACCGGAACCGGGCCCTTTCCGATCTCTAGTTCCGCAAGGTCTAGTCATTTTAAAAATTCGATATTTGAACATTAAAATTTTTTTGAACATTTTCGAATTTCAAAAACCAGAAAAAAATTTCAGACCCCCCCCCTCCCACCTTAATTAATTAAAAACCACAACAAGACAACAAACAAATAAAACCAAAAACCACTAATATAAACAAAACCTTTTTCCTTATTATTGTTTAAAATAGGCAATATAGAATGTTGTTTTGTCTCATAGTGTTGTGCTATTCCTCTAATTTTAAGACGTTCGGGTTGTAAACTTTTTTGTTGTTGTTCTGTCTTTTCAAAAAGTGGGGGTAGAGAGTCAATAGTAAATTGTTGTTGTTTAGCAAAAATAAATGGTGAAGCTGAAATGTTTTCTTTTAAAATTGAAACAAACATGTTTTACAAACCACAAAACACAGAAAGTGAATTGTAAAAAAATAAACTTGTTTTTAAACATTTAAAAACTTGAAAAAATAAACTTGTTTGAACAACACTAAAACAAGTTTATTTAAAACATTGTGATTTCAAGTTTTGTAAAAATAAACTTGTTTCTAAGCAATTGTAAAACAAGTTCATAAAATAATAAACTTGTTCGATCGAGTTAATTTGTAAAAACAAACATGATTGTAAAAATTAGCGAAAATTAAACTTGTTTTAATACAATTTGTTTTTAAAAAAGTTTATTTTTTCTCAACAACACAAAAACAAGTTTATTTAAAACATATGAGAATTTCAAGTTTATTTAAAAATAAACTTGTTTTTAAACAATTTGTAAAACAAGTTTATTTTTTTATTTCATATAAAAACATTGTAATTGTTTTTAATAAAAATAAAAATTACCCAGTCTATTAGGTTCACAACTATATCCATCTTCACCAAGTTGATAACCTTCAGGACAAACACAATAATAATTTCCATAAGTATTTTCACAATTAAAAGAACATAGAGGCGACTCATTTTCAATACATTCATTAATATCTTTAAAATAATTTTTTTTATTTTTTCAAAAAAATTTTTTTTCTCTTACCAACACAACTAAATTGGTCTTCAGCTAATTTAAAACCTGGATAACATTGACATTTAGCTTTGCCATTTCCAGCATTTAAACAAAAATGTTGACAACGATTTTCCTCCATTGAACAGGGATTTTCAACTGAAGAAAAAATAAATTAAAAAAAAATTTTTTTGTCCGCAAATATTTTTGCGGACTTTTTGTCCGCAAATTTTTTGTCCGCAAATTCAATCCGAAAAAAATTTTTAAAAATAAAATTTCTCCTCACCAAAACAACTCTTTCTATCCTCTCCCAATTTATATCCTTTCCGGCATCTACATCTCCAAAAACTTGAATCACTTGTCCTTTCTTCACAAATTTGTTCACAACCTCCATTTTGATTTTTACAAGAATTTTCTTTAATACAATCACGTCCATTTGGTGCTAATTGCATTGGGAATGGGCATTGACAGAGATAACCACCTTTTGTATTTATACATTTAAATTGACAGCCACCATTAGATATTGAACATTCATCTACATCTAAAGAATAGAATTTGAGAATCCGCAAAAAATTTTTTTGTCCGCAAAAAATGTTTGCGGATAAATAAATCGTCCGCAAAATTTGAGAATCCGCAAAAATTTTTTTTGTCCGCAAAAATCTTGCGGACAGGAAAATTTGTCCGCAAAGAATTTTTGTCCGCAAGAAATTTTTGCGGACAAAAAAAACTGTCGCAAAATTTGAGAATCCGCAAAAAAATTTTTTTTGTCCGCAAAAATCTTGCGGACAGAAAAATTTTGTCCGCAAAATAAAAGACAAAATTTTTTTCTTTTAAAAAATTCTAAAAAAAATACCAATACAATTAACACCATTTTCAGCCAATTCAAATCCACTATAACATTTGCAATAAAAACTGCCCACAATATTTACACATTCATGTTCACAACCTCCATTGCCTGCCAAACATTCATTTACATCTTTTATTTAAAAATTTTTTTTAAAATTTAAAATTAAAAAAAACCAAATTGACAAGTAGACCCATCAAATCCTGTAGGGCATTGACATAGTTTGTTGTTAAAATTTCCTTCCAATTCATTTTCTGACAAACAAACACCTCCATTTTCACATAATTGTGGAGTACAATTAGCTGAAATAAAGACAAATTTTAATAAAAAAATTTTCTAAATTTAATTTCGGCCCAAGTCTAATTTATGAGTTAAATGAAGAATTGTATGTCCAATTAAATCCAAAAATGTCAATACGATCCAAAAAAGCTCTGAAACAAAAAGAAAAGCACGTCAATTTTTCAATATTTATGGGTCGGTTTCTGAAAATCCCTAATTCAAATTCAACTCATGGTTCCCAAAAATAAGGAATTCCCGACATTCGTGGGCAAGGAATAAGGTTGTCGGATAGTTGGAAATCTTCGGATATTCGGATCCGATATCAGAACCGAGAATTTCCAAATATCCGGTCTTTTTTCGGATCTGCACCTTACTTATTGTTAGTAAAAAAACCCAGATTCCTGTAAATTGGAATTTGTTTTTTATGTCAACAACTTCCATCGGACTCCTAAAATTAGACTCATTCAACCCTCTCTTAATCCCCAGCAATATTTTCTTCAAAAAAACCTCTTAAACATCCATCTTCTCCTTCCAAGTGTATCCAACCAGGACAACATTCAGGTATCAATTCACGACGCTTTCTTGTTGAATTTGTTGTTGAGTGAAAATAGAATGTTCTGAAAAATAAGAAATAGAAAAGTTTCTTTAAATTAAAAAAATCAGAAATTAAAAAAAATTCAGAAAATCAGAACCCCCCCTCCTCCCCCAATTTTTTAAACAATTATTTCTTCATGATTTAACACACAAAAATTACATTTTTTTTCTGACTTGTAAAAGTTGTATATAAAAAAGTTATGTATTTTTTGTCCTTTTCAATCATGTTTCTTTTTTTATATCCCCCAAAAAGAAATTATTATTAAGTCGGCAAAATTTAGTGGAATGAAGCGAAATAATATTTTCATGTAAATATACAATCTTGTCGTTTTTTTTTGTATTTTGATAAATCCAGGAGATCAACAAGAAAGCGAAATACTAAAAAAAGCGAATAGCAAAATTGGCACCAAAGCTGGCGAAACAAAAAATCTTCGAACGTCGAAAATCGAAATTTCGGCGCTGCTTTGGCTGACACACTCAAAAACCACGGAGGGGATATTGGTAAGAAAGGAATTTATTGTATCGAACTTAGAACCGCTATTAAACTACCTATCAATAAACTTAAATTGTGATCAACTGGGTGAAATCCCATTTTTATATTATAATTTATTATTTGGCTATATCCCCTATAAAACAGGCATTTTTCCCTTTTTTTCTCATCATCAAATAAAAATAATAATCGCGCCATGATTGTCACCCAATTGTCTCTAAAGTGTACATTTTCACAGCATCCTATTTTTCAGTTTTTTACTACATACCCGCAGCTATGTTTGGGAGAACGGAAAGTGAAGGGTCATACAAACCCCGCCGAACGATAAAAAAATAATAATAATCTCGTGAAAGGGCAAGGTCAAGTAAAAAAATTATGTAAAATTGATAGGATATGAGAGGGGATCTGACTTAAAAAGATGATCAAAAAAAGGTGGAAGAACAACGGGAAACGGAGGGATTAACTCAAAAATTCCTCCCCTCCCCTTCTAAAAAATTCTGATTTTTCAATAAAAAACAAAAAAATCAAACTTAGGGACACGAATTGCACACCCAGCAGAATTAGTTCCATAGTGACAATTTCTAGCCTTTCTTGTCCGTACGTATCGAGTAAGTGCACGCATACATGGCCTTCGAACTGTTTGAATTTGTAATTCTTCGTGTGGACAAACATTCCTTCTGAAAAAATAAATATTGGTTTTATTTAACTAAAGCATGTTTTTATAAATTAAATAGCCTTGTTCTGCAACTTTAAAGATGTTTTACAAACTTGATATTAAAATTAAAAAAAAACTTTCCAGCCTTAAAATAAACTTGTTTTACAACTAATTAAACTTGTTTTACAAATGTAATGTTAGTTTAGAAACTTCCATTTTTAAATATAAACTTTTTTTACAATTCGAACATGTTTTTACAAACTCAAATCTTTTACTTACACAAAGCAAAGTTTACAAACTTATTATTTTTCTCTCTTTATAATACCAAACATTATTTAAAATCAACAAAACACAACACCCTTAAGAGAGAAAAAAAAACATTAAAAAGCCACACCTTTACTTCTTCCTCATTTAAAGTTTTACCCTTCCGGAATCGGCTGGTAAAAAGGATTGTTTTTGCTTGTCTATTTGTTTGTTTGCTAAAATGTTATTTATCTCTTTCTACCACACACACAAAAATGTTTGTTTGTTTATTTAAATATTCCCATTTTCTTGGCTATTTTACAATTAAAATTTTAAAGCTTTTAATAAAAAAAGTTTTAATTTTTAAATATAAAATGAGAGAGAAGAGGATAATGGAAGAGCAGAGGTGGGTCGGAACAGTCCGAAGTGTCAGAAATCGGAAGGAAAAAAAGTCGAAAATCGGAAGTCGGAATTCCGACACACCTGTGAATGGGAGAGAAGCCAGAAAAAAAAATAATTTTTTTCTAACCATTCACCATCTTCAATACTTAATTTCTTTTTTTTCTCGAAATAATCCCTTAATTCTCTCGACTTTAAAAAAAATTTTTTCCTTCTATCCGTCACCTTTCCCGATTTTTTTATCTTTCACTAAAATCAACTAGTTAATAGCACCTTTTTCTCCTTAATTTTCTTTATATTCCTCACAAATCATTGCGCAACATTTTTTCTTGCCGAAAAATTAAAAAAGGAAATGACAATTTATACTATAAAATCTCCCACCCTTCCGCCATTTTTGGCACCTATTTTAGAAGCGTTATTTTTCACACTATCACCATCAATAAAAATACAACACAAAAAAATTTCACAAAAATAGCAACAACAATATAAAAATAATTTTTATTAATTTATGCACACATATGTTGTTTTTCCCTCTCTAAAATTCAAAAACCTATCCAAATATATAAAAAATTTAAATAATATAATTCTTTAATCTCTCTCCCTTCTTTCTAACCTTACCATAAAAATTTCTAGCCTTATTCTAACCTTATTCATAACCTTATAAATAGGGTTGGAATTTTCGAGACGGGTCGGATTTTCGACGTTCAAGTCGGCCCGACGTTCGAGTTATTATTATCGGGCCGATCCGACCGAGTCTTTTTCGGGCCAAAATTCGAAGCCCGACTCGATCTTTCGAACCGGACCGGAATGGGTCCTCATCCCTCTTATAAAAATTAAAAAAATTTTTTCCGTCTTTTCCCCTTTGCTTTATTCTGACCCCTCTCCTTTCCTTAATACTTGGCTTTTCCTTAATTTTTCTCTTTTCCTCTTTTCAAAAATAATAACAATAAAATACAAAAAAACAATTTTTTTCTTTTGTAAAAATTTTTTGCCACTTTTCCTACAACAAAACATAACTCTTTCTAGTCCCCTCCTATTTTTGTTCAATTTTTGGTCCTATTTATTATTATTTTTTTGTTATTATTCATTTATGTATTCTAAATTAGCCTTAAATTAATCGAACAATTTTTTTTTACTATTCTAAAAGGGAAAAATAAAAAAAAGAGAAAAATAATAACATAATAAAATAAAAAAATTTTTTTATTTTTTGGCTAAAATATTTTAAAAAACACTCTAGGGTTCAAAATGGAAAATTTCGAAAATCCCCAAAAATATAAAATCCCTTAAATATCCTCAAAAAATACTCTTAAATTTTCCCCAATATTTTTCTATTCAATAAACTCATCTCAACATTACAACAACAAAACCCCCAATTCTACAAACTTTAAAGAAAAAATAAGAGGGAAAAAGGCTTTGATCTGATTTTTTAATTGGAAAAAGAGGGGGACAAATTGTCCTTCTTTTTATAAAAGGAAAAAATATATAAATTGTTTTTTTGTAATTTGATTGACGGAAATTAAAAAAATATCGGAAATAGAATATTGGAAAATCAAAAAAAAATGTAAAAAAAATTAAAAAAACATGTAAAGGAGGGACAATAATGTCCCGAAATTGGGCTTTTGTTCCGAAAAAGTAAAAAAATATAACTAAAAAAAGACCCAACTTGGCCCTATTTAAAAAATAACCCGAATTAGCCCCTTGTCCCCAATATGTCCAAATTGTCCTTGTCAAAATTCAAAATTTCCCCTTGTCCCCAATATAACCGCCAAAAATTCAAAAAACTTGCAGAAAAATTTAAAAATATAGAGAGGACAATAATGTCTCAACTTATTGTTAGCCACAAAACCAATAAACCCCAAAAAATAAAAAATAAAAAAACTAACTGTCCAAGTCTCAATTTAGAAGCATTCCTTTCCAAAGCAATTTCTCCTAATTTTGTTGAACCATCAAAAATTTGAAGAAAAATAAAATAAATAGTAGTAATAAATCCAAGATGCATTGTTGTTGAAAGCCTGATGAAAAAAATTTTTTTTTAATTATTAAAATAATTTAAATAAAAAAATTTAATAGAATTCTGAATTAAAAAAAATCCAAACTTTAAAATTAAAAAAAATTTTGAGCTAAAAAGAGTACAGGCTAAACTAGAAAAATTTTTTTTTAATTATATATATATAATAGTTTTGAGTTTCGTGCAAAAAAAATTAAGGCCAGTTTATTCTAAAATAAATAGAAAAATTTTTTTGCAAGATTTTACGTTAAAAAAGGTCAAGCTATACTTAAAAATATCTCCAAAAATTTTTTTTAAAAATTAAAAAAAATGTTTTTTCCTCACTTTAGAAAACCCCCTCAAAACTTAAAAAATTTTTCAGTTCAAAAACCCCCTCAAACTTAGAAAAAAAGATTTTCTCTTTTTAAAAGCCATTTTTGTACACTACTACTATATTTAATTTAAAATTTATTTTTAAGAAGATTGAAGGAAATGAGTAAATAAATTTATCTTTGGTGGAAGTCCTTCATCCCCTCCCCTCTACCTACCCATAGGGGAATTGACCACACCACAAAAAGAAAATTAATAGCAAGTAAAAATGAATGAGGAGGGTGTAATGGAATTAAAAAAAATGAGGAAAGTCAAATGCTTTAAAACAATTGAAGGAATGTCCATTTTAGTGTGAAAAAAAGGAAGATTAAAAAAATAATATATTCTTTACGTTAGTTTTCATTACGAATAATCTTCATTACCCTTAAAAACAAAAAAAAAGTAAAAAACAATTCAAACCCTAAGAAGAAAAAAAATCCTAAAAAAAGAAAAATCCTAGAAAATCGTAGAAGAATCGTAAAAATAAGTCATAGAAAAAAAATAACAGGAGAAAAATATCCTAGGAAGAAAGGAAAAAATCTTAAGAAGGAAAAATCCTGGAAAGAAGAAAATCAGATGAAGAAAAAATCTTAAAAGAATCCTAGAAGAAAAATCCTAAAAAAAGAATCCTAAGAAATCGTAGAAGAATCAAAAAAGAAAAAATTGTAGAGAAAAAAATACCAGGAGAAAAAAATACCCTAGGAAGAAAGAAAAAGATTTTAAGAAGAAAGAATCCTGGAAAAAAGAAAATCCTAAAAAGAAAAAAATCCAAGCAAAAAAATTCTAAAAAAAAAGAAAATTAAAAATAGACAAAATCTTCAAGTAATAAACAAAAAGAGAAGAAAAATAACAATAAAAAAATTTTAAAATAAAATTTTAACGTCAAATTAAAATTTCATTAAAAATATATTTACACTTTTAAAATAAACTTTTCTTGACCACACAAAAAGCTTTTTTTGTGTGGTCAATCACCTCACCTAATTTCCCCAAACAATTTTAAAAAGCTTTTGCTATTGTTTGTCCCTCTAATTTATCAATTTTCAACACTAATGAACTTTTTTTATAAAAGAAAATGACCCACACAAAGCATCATATATAACTTAACTTCCCCCACTTTTTACTTATTATTGGATTAAGTTTCTCTTTTATTTTTAGTTGGTAGGTGGAAAATTATAAAATAAAAATATTGGAAAAATTTGAAAGAATTTAATAAAAAAAAAGAAAAAAGAATAAAAAAAAAGTAAATCACAAAAAGAAAAAAATGTTCTAGAAAATAAAAACCTCAAGTCAAACCCGGTCAGATAAACAGTCCAAGTCAAGCTCACATTTCTGGTTCGAAAAAATAATATCAGAAGGGAAGAGAGTCACGGTCAGATAAAAAGTCCAAGGCAAGCTCACATATCTGGTCTTAAAAATAGTACGATCCTTTAGGACCAGATTGTGAAAAAAAATTCAGAAAATAAAAATATCAGAAGGGAAAGATCTAAATGCCAGCAATTTAATCCGGGAAAGAGTTGAATGACATTTGATCCCAAAAAAGAAAAACACAAAGTTAATTAGAAAACTCGAAAAATCGCTTCAAATAAGTCTTCCTAAAATTCAGCCCGACTCAAAAACGGCAACCCTAATCCTTAAAAATAAAAAAAAAAACCTAAAGGAATGATATCGAAAAAAAACTAATAAAAAGTGGACATTAAGCTGTCCACCACCACCAAAAAAAGAAGATGAGAGATATATGAATGACATTCCCTCCCTTCACTATTCCCTTCCCTCAATTCCTTTTCACCTCCCGTGGTGCATCCCCATCCCTTTTTTTCTTCAAAAGGCGGAGCAAGGTAGGGCGGTATTTAATAAAATATATATAAAATGCTAATCTATTAAGATGAAAAAAAGGTAGAAAAAATTATAAAAAAAGTAATAATACTAAAAATAATTAAAAAATAGTTGTGAGAGAAAAGTCAAGTTTAGG